CATGATTTGTAAGGTTATAAAAAGTGAGATCCTTTTTAACAAATATGAGCCATGCATGGAGGTAGACTGGACCCTACAAAAAAGACAAGATTTAAATACCTTTGTACAAGACTCTCTCTTTGCTTTAATAGTCACATGCAGAATGACTAGTACATTACTCTTCATAGTTATAAAACACACTGAACTAGAACTGGGAGAGAAATGCTTTCATCTTTCCAGAAACAGCTCAAGATTTCAAAATGTTCTTTCTAAACCTGATTTTTTTTTTAAGTGTATTGAGAATAAAAAAATAATAACCCAAAAAAAGTTACCTCTGGTACACTGAGTCAACACATTTGTTGCTGAAAACTACTCTGCTACTGCCACTGAGAACAACACTACTAACTGGAGGTGAAAAAAAGACCCTGCTCCCTAAATCTTAGGCGAATTAATGAAAATTAATTATTTTATTGTTGTTCAACTTTGCACCCTGATAACATCTGCTATTTTCAAATCCATTTCCTCCTCTTGTTCAGTCTACCTGTAATTTTCTTTTTTGTTTAACGCTGTTTGTTAGAGTTTGGGGGAGGGCCTTAACTTGGAAATCTTGTAGCAGGAACTCAAAATTTAGTGATGTAAGCCAGAAATAGAAATGCCATAGCCACCAAAGAGAAGACATGCGGCATTGCTTACTTAAAGCCCCATCCTGTCCCCCCAAGGACAATAGCTGCTACCAGGATGGCACCAGCGATGGAGCCTATTATAAGATTGGTGGCACTAGGACCTGTGATAAAGGATTATGGTAAGACAGACATAAGAACCAACGACTTTATTCACGTCACGTGAAGCATCTGAAGGGTAGTCAAACAATTCAAAGAATATAGACAGCACTCAAGGTGATGCCTCTAAACAATCTCAACAAGCCCAGCTTAGCTTACTCTTCTTTAACAATAGGAATGAACAAAGCTGTTGGTCTCTGCATTGTACTATGCTGACTTCTACTAAAGATAAAAATCTAGTATTAGACAGTGAATTCCATTGTAACTTACTCCATTATCTAGTGAATGAACAGTCAGCTGAGGACACTAAGATATTTGTGAATAATCCCTTAAAGGAAGAAGTATGAATGATGTATGTTTTAGGACTACAGCAAATCAGAAAGGAAAAAAAAAAAAAAAAAAAGAAGTCAAAAAGCCCTGTCTTTTTTCATGGAGCTTCTGAATGGGTAGATATTTTAATTTGAGCTGAGAGCATTCAGCACCACTTGCTAATCATAATCCAGACTCCCTACAATTACATCAATGCTAAATTTACAAACAATTGTTTGACAAAAGCAAAGGATTATATAATAGGGAACAAAAGTTTAAATAAAAGCTGTATTCCTCCTAAGCTTTCCAAACATCAAAGCATCTCTTCATTGTCCTCAAGAAGCTACTAAACAACAAAGTGGGGAAGGGTGGAGCAGGAAAAAAGAGCAACAAAAAGAAGCAGCACAAATATGTTTGTGCAATTTTCTGAAGACGGCAAGAGAACACCTAAATAAGATATTAATAATTGACCCTTAAGTGCTCTACTTATATAGGCAGAGGAAAACCGACAGTAAGCTTGAGTAACATTTTAATTGCTCTGTACAGAAACTTCCTATTGCGCAGGTTTTGATGTAAAGCTAATTGCATCTGAACTCAAGGCAAACCGAAACCAACTCAACAGTTCTTCTGCAGCTTATTGTACACTCTTTGTTTAAACATTTACATTTTAGGAATAGCCTTCAGAAACAGTTCTTACCTCCCATCTCAGTCTCCCCAAACCAACACTTCTACACAGAAATTGAAATTTTCCTAATTAATTGTTCTAAAACCAAGTTTGGAAAACTGTCAGACAGCTGACATAAGGAAGAAAGAGGAGCAGCCAGAGATCAGCAAAGAAGGAGCAAGGGCAACTGCAACAACTGAAAGTTTTAGGCTGTTAGGTCGGTATCACAAAACCACCTGTCCAGTCCCACACACTACGACAAGCACATATCCTAAGTTTTAAAATTTACTGTAGGAATCTAACTTCATTGCATCCACTGCATGTTTCCCCCATCAGTGCTTCTGGAGATCTGACTAGCTAAAAGAAAACCAAGTTTTAAAAATTGCTTTCTGCAGTTCCTATACAAAGAGTATTCAGGAATATGAACAAAATGCTTGGACTGAAATGAGATATAGTGAGCTTTACAGATGAGCAGTGCACAAATTTGACAACAAAAATCAGAAGGTAATTTTTGACAATTTGGAAGAATGTATCTTATTTGGACTTACCTTTCAAGTCATACCTGGCTCAAATCAACAGGAGTGAGCATGGTGGAGGGTAAAATGCCATTCCACAGGCATTATAGTGCCAACTAAGGCTTGCTTGCAACAGCAATCTAATGAGCCTACTGAGCTACTGTGTCTAACTGAGATCTGGGGTTTACTCTGGATTTTAACAAATGATTTCACACAACAAAAACCTGAAAACACAGCAAGTAATTTATCTGAAATAAATTTTATAAGCCTTGAAAAATTCTAAAGCTGATTTCTTTTTAGCCATAGAATGCTATCTTCCCACAAAGAGGTACAAAGATTAACTGATAGTAACATAGAGATAACTTAATTTAGATAAATAAGTGCCAAATCACCACTTTTTACATCCCTCCTTCTCACCATGTTCCCTGGTTGCTAAATGTCAAGGGGTGGGGAGGGAAAGGGTGTGTATCCATTTCATAGTGCACATTCATTCACCAAACAGCAGTTTGTTGTTTCAATACAGAAAATCAATACTGGTTTTATTTACTATAAATATGGGAGAATTCAAACAAAAATTAAACAGAAGAGGATAATATACAAACCAACTAGGTTCAGTTTACGGAAAAGTATAAATATACAAACCCAAGCTGGTAGAATAGGCATGATGACTAAAACAGCAACCACTTGTTTATGAGAATGGAGTCCTCCCAACTGCTGAATTCCAGTTTCAAAACACAGTGATTTAAGAGGACCCACCATACTGTGGAGTCATTTTTCATCCAGACTATCACAAGATGCAACACTTCATTATATTTGTTCTTTCCACCACACTACTGCTATAACCTACAGACACAGATTTTTCAGGAGGAAACTCCTGCACACACCTGGCACAACACCTTTTCCTGCAAAGCACTACCTGCTCTGGTATGGCTATTTGTACCATCCCAGGTCATCTTTTAGGACCCCGATAAAAATCCTACTGAAGGTATTAAAAACAGAACACACCTACATTTTCGGTAGACTTCGGACTATTCCCTAAATCTTCAGCAGCAGCAGCTAGATTTGAACACTGCTTTGAAACTCTGCTAGTATTAGAAATTAAAGCTATTTCAGCACTTTGAACAAAGGTTCACAATTTGCAAGTGAAGTGGTGAGGAAGGAGGAGAAAGGGCAAGGACTTGGCACCAGGTGCTTGATGAACACACCCTCCCCTACAGCCACTGATGGAACAGCCACCAGGGACTGAAGAGTATCAGGAAAAGAGAGGGAATTTGGATTCCCCATGTGCTTTCCGTAAACCAAACAAAAAGTAGCAGTGGCTTGCCTTGAATGTACATTTGTACCTGAAGGAACCAGAGACCAGAGAAAGACTGATGGGATGCAGGAAAGAAGAATGGAGAGAAACACAAAGAATGAGTCAGGTAGTGAGTGATAAGAGAAGAGGAAAGATGAAGAAAAGCTGGAATTAGTGTAGAACCATACAAAGCGAGAACAAATGGTCAGGGACGTTGGTCAGAGCTGAGTGGCTTGAGACAGCAGGTAAGGGGAGAGAAAAACAGAAGGGTACAAGGCAGAATGTAAGAAAAAGGCAAGTGGTCCTCAACCTGTAGGTAAATTTTATGCTTCCAAATCTGTGTCCCAAACCTCTACAACCTTAACAGTTGTCATTTTTTAGCAAAAAGCTGTAAAAGCCACCAGTAAAACACAGATCAGATCTTTCTCAAGCAAATAATCTCTTACCTTCTCCCTTCTGTTTGTTTTCTATTAGTTGTGCTCTGTGAACACAAAGGTCTCTACTCTTCTGAGAATCTGAGATCGATGTCATGTACCAGACAGGTTCCTAGGGCTGTGAACTCAGACACACAAAATGCTGCCTTGCCAGACTAGAATTGAACAGGGGTGCCTTTTCACACAGCCTGATTAGAAATCATAGACTGTCCTGTCATGAGTGTCCCTTCAGAGGTGCCACTGCCACATGACAGATGTAATATATAGTACTAGGAACACGGTGAAGTTGGAATTCTCAGAGGAGCAAAATAACAGTAATTTAAGGTGTAATTTGTATAGTGAATGCAGATTGAAGAGAGCTCTTACATGGGCCTTTTTATGCATGCGTGCATATATGCAAACAAAATTTATATAAATCATAGACATTGTTAAAATGGAGGTAGGAGGATAACACTTAAGATGACAGTTTCCTAAAACTATGAAAAGACAACAAAAATTGCTCATATATATTCTGTATATGTGAATATTATACTTCAGCATTGTGCTATCTTCGGGTAACAGAATCCCTGCAACAGAACCTTTAGAAGCTTTACTGTAGAACTAGCTGTCTGTATGACTATCATCAGCTTTCATCCACCTAGCTTGATCATTAGACTGAAAGCCCCACAGACTGTAATAAACAATTTCTGCATTTTATGAAATAGTCCGCATTACTCAGTCTGTTTTGCAAAATAATCACAAAATTCCATTTTTTTTTTGTGTAATGGAAACATTTAGACACTTAGTTTTATGGTGACAATGTAAAAAAATCACAAAGTTATTGTTTTATGCCCCACATTATCCCAGACAGGAGAAGGTTCAACACTGCATGAGCAAACCACATGACACAGACACAGTCAAATCACAGGACAAATACGGTCACCACATGACAAAGCTAACGGGGTCATACACAGAGGGCTCAGGTGCATACGGTTACCTCACACACTAGGCACCAAACATAAAACTCAAACTAAGAAAAATGCTTACTCTATTCCCCACCCTGTGCCTCCAAAAATCACCCCCAAGGCCAGAATGGTCCCTGCCACTGCACCTATTAGCCTGTTAGCAGCCATGCTCACTGTGTGGAGGGAAAAGGGAAGATTTTTTAAGGAAATTATCACATATATGTCTGAAATGAAAACATGAAATAATTCCTCAAAGGAATACTTTATGCTATAATCAACTGTTTGGATAAGCAATTCAAATCTCCTCACAAACCTTTATTTACCAAATACTGCAGCTTTAACAATTCTGAAGTGAAATATATTTGGTTTTCTTTGAATGTTTGCAAATATTTCAGTGACAAGTTTTCCTGTAAATGAAAGACTATTCCTTTTAGCTTTGTGATTCTATTATTTATTTAAAAGAGGAACATCCTCAACCTACTGCTTATTTGTAATAGCCAAAATGTAAACAAATTACCAGTAAGAAAACTTCCTTTTGATCACCAGGAACTTACTGTATCCACAATATAACTAAGCAAATGAAAACTGTTTGGAAACAGTTCCACTGCAGGGAAAAAAACCCAAACACAACTTTGAAATTACTAGATAGTAATATTTTCCTTTGTTACTGCATTTAGCAATAGGACTCCCTATTTATCTATATGACCTAAAGACAGGCAACAAGGCAAAACCTACCTTAGAAGGATGTTTCAGGTAACACTCTGGAAATTTTGATATGGTCAGATAGTCTTCCTTAAGACATCAAGGCCTTATTTGTAATTTTTAAGGGAACTCATTTGAGAAAAAACATCTGCACGTTTCCCATGTTAGAGATTAAAAGTTTGAGAGATTCATTGACTCACGATAGACCACAAGCAAGTAGCTGAATTCCCTGTCCTATGGGAACTTTTGCAAGGGACAAAAACTTTATAGACTTCATGCTATGAAGTCTGCTTTGGAGTGCTTTGGGTAATTTTCTTCCAAAAGTTTCATAAATATACACACACAATCACACACACACACTTGAGAAATAAGCTTTATACTAAAATAAACACTACTCCACTAGTCAAATAAAGGACTAATTCTGCAAATTAAATGGCAAAGGAAGAATCTCGTGTGCCAGTACTCTACAGTAATTCAAAGTTTCTGCAGTAACCAAAAACTAACTGCAAGAACTCTCTGCCTTCCCCAAACTGCTAAATGCTGTGCACGTCTGCTAGTACAGGATACAGTAGGTTGCTGATTTTAGAATAATTCAAGGGTCATGTATTAATAGTAACATAATAAAGGACCATTCATTTTTTTTTAATCCTGAAATAGAGAATGGAGCCAAAAAGCAATTGATGGATGATGGAAAAGTCTGAAAAGTGCAGCAGGAGTAGCAGCCAATTGTCAGTTATCATAACAATATATAAATAATTAGCAATACTTCCTAACTATACATGTTCTAATTGTAGTAAGAAAAATGCTTGGATTTATGGTGTGAAAAATCTTAAACCTATTAGGTTTTAGTTTTCACATCATGAGTGTTTCATTTCTGAAATGTAACAAAATTCAAACTTATGGCTAAGGAAAAATGAGTATTTTGGTTTCTGTCTCAGACTTGTACACTGGCATTTGACACAGGGAGTAATAAGGGGAAAGAAGTTAGTGGAAACTACTTGAGTATGTTGGATCTTTACAACAGAGAAAAGTACTCCCAGATTCTTCTGAAATCTTCTCACAAAGGAATTCCTCCATAAGCATGCAGAAAGAAATCATAGCAGCTCTGTTAGTGTTCTGGCTCCTAAATTCACTTCTAGGGAATTCAACATCAATAAATTACTGTAATAACATAAGAAATATAATCCATCTTTTGAGATCACTGAGCCACCTTGTACAAAAGCATAGTCTGCCTTTTCGCAGAGGAATCGATTGAGAAAGGCAGTCTAAACGTTGTCTGCACCTACCGGCAGAAATCCATGCCCATACTATTCATTTAAGGCTTTTGCCCAATATATTTCAGCATTGATGTGTTAATTTTCACACAGGCATTTCCATTCTGAACTGGAGGAGTTAATCTGGCTTACAGTAATGTAACCAAGGTAAGAGTACCTCCTGTGTTGCCCTTCCTACAGACCTTTTTACAGAGGAGAGAATTATTTCTTATGTACAGGATTTGGAAACGAGCAAAATCAAATTCATGTGTTCTCTCAGTATCACAGCTGTAAATACTTCTCATCCACACACACAGAGAACTGAACAGCTCTACAGTGCTGGTCTCCATAATTTTTTTAAGACTTTGTAAGCAACGTTCCACAGGCAGGAAGATTTTTAGGAGAAAGGGAATGACAAGTAGCTCTGTAAGGCAGGGTACAAAACAGGCAGCTACACTGAACAGTGGTGGGATTAGAAATCCAGGAAGCATCTGTACAAATTCCCTCACACAAATCCGGACTGTTCAAGAGAGTCTCCTTCACAACAGTGATTTGTTTTAAGACTGTATCTTCAACAGTTCTTGGTAAAGGTCTACTGGAACCGTTCTGCTAAAGGGCAACAGGAAAAGGCACACAAGACAGATGTAGAGCCTTTCTGGAGGGACATACCAAAATCCTGCCCTTCCTTGAAACCTTAGATATTTCGGAGAGCAATCAATTTGAGTCTAAGGGCTGAATTTTTAAGCAACTCTATCTTTTTCCCATCTGCCTTGTAAAAGGGGCAGAAGAACCTGGAACTCGGACATAGTGGAAAAATTTTGTGTTTCTCAGTTGTTTATTGGGAACTTTATCTGTAAATGCATAAGATTTGATTAATACAGTCTGATGTTGGACAATGCCCTGATGACAAAAAGACATACAAAAACTGGACAGCACAATCCAAAGATATTCTTTGGCAGAGAAGTCAGAGAGAATCTCAAGTGCTTTTCTTCCTCTTTGAAAAACTTTTTTGATGAATAATTTCCTCTGTACCTCCTATTTTTATCTATACTTCATATACAGTTGAAATACCTACTAAGTACCTAAGAATAAGCAGTAATGATTGTAAGAATAATTTAAGTTCTTAAAAATCTAATTTTTTTTCTTTTGTCTTTCATTGAAATCTGATTTCAAGGAATCTAATTTCACCAGGGACATTCCACTTTTCCCTTTTTTATTCCATAGCTCTCTGAATTAGCTGAGAACAACTAAGGAAACTGGAAATGTCTAGTAAAACATAAATATTCAATTATCATATGAATAACAAGAGCCACACTTAGTCAGGTTCCAGTCATAAAGAAAATTATCATTAAAAAATAGAGACTACAAAATGAAGAAAAAAAAGTTACCTATTGAAATCTTCCCCAAAAATATGTTAGAAAAATAAAAGTTTCATCAATTCTTAAAGTAGAAAAACCTATTTCATCTACATGAATCAGAATTTTACTTGTCTGGGTCTAAAAACAGCTGTGCAATAGTATTTTCTTTTTATATGCTAATTCTACTACCATGTATCAATGGAAAAATGTCATAAATACTTTTAAGAACATCATAACTGAAACAAAACACAAACCCTTGGGTCCTTCTTCCTTCTTGCCACCAGTATCCCTGACAGGATCATCAATGCTGCAGTCTGTCCCAGCCCAGGAGAAATTACAAATGCAAGTGGCTTCATTACTACAAACCTGGGAAAGAAAATAAGTGACAGCAGTTAGTTTTTTACTACATTTTATTAACTTTATTTGACGTGTAATGAAATATTTAATACATGATGTAAAACTTCTCCATTTATATGTTTGTAACAATGGCACAGAGTGTCTGGAATGATATAACACATCAATAATCTGAAAGTTTGCTTTAACCCTCTTAATACACTCAGATGTTAGGAAAAGTAGAACTGGTTCTATCATCACTTCCACTACAACCTGCACAGGTTGTAAAACATAATGAATTTTCATCCAAAAACCCCTATCTAAACTAGTTAGGTTTCACTGACTTCACTAACCAGCTCTCTAGACTTTGAGCCTGGATGCCCAGAAGGAACACAAGCATTGGTGTTTGAAATGGTTCAAGACATGGTTACACTTTGCATCCTCTCATTCACAGCCTGCTCTCAGGTAGAACAAATTTGATATATTTTCATGGGTTTCGTTGGCATTTTTCCCAAGCAGCAAAGAAAAAAGCTTGTTCATCTTCTACAAGAGGTAAAACAGTGCTTCCTAAGCTTGCATTTGGTCGCATGACCTCAAAAAAAAAAGGACTTAGGATTCCAAAATTGAAAACACATTTATCAGATACAAGAAAATCTGTCCAAGGGACAAAACCTAAAACACCAAATCAACAGTGAGAGTTAATAGCTATAAACTTTGCATACGAAAAAGAACATGGAATGGTGTTTCTAGGAGAAGTTACTACAGAAAAAAGCATGACATGAGAAACAGACATAAAACTAAAAATGAAGTTTTGATTATAGGACTAGAAGTGAAGTCAATCATTAGACAAACAGCTAATAGTATCTTCTACACACTGGAACATGATGTGAAAAAAAAACAAAAACAAAAACAAAAACAGAAAACAACCTACACACTAATGATTATAAGTAAGTAGCCCATGTGATTTTTTTAATTCAACTTTTATCGCATTCTGCTTCTTAAAGTACTCACTGAGGAATCTGATCTAGGAACTTGAAGATAAATACATCTTATGGCAGGTTTGATCAACTGAAATACCCTTTTAAAATTTGGAATTGTAATAATCCAAAACAAAACAGGTAAGATGGTTCACTCACCCTTCATGCCAGTCTCAAAAAGTACCAAGATGATTTCCAGATCTCCTAAATACTTTACTTTTCAATTTCACATTTTTTTTCCTTGATTTTGAACCTAACCCTCTTTTTTGAAACACTCAATTTCCCATTCAATTACAGTCAATAAGAAGAAAAAAACCCCCCCTTCTTGTATAAAGTCTAGCCCCTTTGGCAAGCGTATGTCCCACTGAATTCCGCAATGGAAAGGTCTTATCACTATTTAAAACAGTGAATCTGTTCATCAAAACATACCTAGTATCTTAGACAAATGGAGTTATGGGTAGAATAACAGAATATAACGTGCCTGAATGTAAAATGATGCACTTTGGATCCCTTCAAGAAGAATGTACCCTCTCTGTTGAGGACCCACAGTTTGGAATTATAATTATTTAAGTCATAAAGTAAAAATCTATGAACATAGGACCAATTTTATAAAGGTGCTAGTATGCAGGAAAAAGTTTAACTGAAAATGGCAAGTGGCTTGAAATATGGGTAGTACATTACAGAATACAATAACTATACAATAACTAATGTCAAAATTCTTTCTTACTAGTAACAAACCCAATACTTCAGATGTAATCGGAGAACTAATCTGACAATTTCATTTTTTAAAATTTTACCTCTGCTTCACAAAATGGCTGTTTTCCCCTGAATCTAACATTTCTGCTTTCAGATCAACAGGTCTTAAGAACACTTTAAGGTAGAGAACCGCACAGGGTACATTAGGATCAGGTACAGCACAGAGAGCTGGGGAGGCTGAGCCGCTCGCTCCCAGCATGGACTCACCCCATGACCAGAACAGACTTTTCCATTAGAACCAATGGGACAGCTGCTAATGTTCAAGGACTGAATTGGCAGGCACTTTTTGTCCAGACACATCATTTGAGGTCCACATGGAGCTCCATCCTCCACATAACCTAAATCTGTATCATCATCCAAAAGAACATGAGCACCACTAGGAGAAATAAGTTTTAAGATACTATTAGAATTATGACTGGAGTCTCTTGAAAATATTAAAAACATGTCTGTGTAGGTGCTAAAAGCCTCGTATTTTTCCTTCATTTAAGCATACAGATAGACTGAACAAAACTATAGTTTTTCTGCCTGTCCACAGCAATGATAAGGCGTTCCAGTTGTCAAACTAAAACCAAGTCTATATATTGACTTAACTACTCAAGAAGGGCACCTTAGGCCTAGGAGATTTTTAAGTCTTTGACAGACCATGCTTTTTCCTTTTTTTTCTTTCCTTTTTTTTAACTCCCAAATGCTGTGAAATACTATTGCTGGAAAAATATCCCCATGCGATGACATTTAAATAAAAACACTAGTGGAATAATGGAAGAATTAAGAATCACAGTTCATTCAGAACCTAACTATTCAAGGGAATATTTTTAGCATGACAGGAATGTTGCCAATGTCCTTAAAATACAAACCCAGTATTGTGCAGAGCAGACTAAAACCCATTTACCTGTCCTTTAACTGAACTGTAGCTTAATATCTTATCCTGACACAACTCCGCAGTTTCCTTCCTTTTTGTCTTCACTTCCCTATAACCATTTCTCTGAGTATTTAATACTCAAAATCATTATGTTTAAAATATGGGTCTTTGGCAATACAGATTTTCTCCACCCTCAGAGAAACATAATGCTGAGCATTACCATTAAGCTCTGACTGTGAAGTTCTGCTATTGAGGGATCAGATACAGTAATCAGGAGGACAACCCACATTCAAATATGGAATATTAGGCTTTTATGTATTTTTTTTAACCAAAAGAAATACCACTTAGAATAATGGTTTTGCTGCAATATATTAATTACCTAAAATTCTCAGAATTTTACATTTATGTTTCTCTTAATTCAATTAGGATTGACAGCGCCAAGTCTTGTTGGAATACTGCATTATCTTTTACCTGCAGTCCACTATGCGTCCTTGATGATAAAAAGAATTTGGGATAATTTCTCCTTGAACTTGACCAACTCGTGGAACTCTAGTAAGATTAGTACAGAGCAAAAAGCCACAGAAAACATCACTGTAAAATGAAAACATAAACCAAAATATTACTGGAATAATATAAGGTAGACTTACAAAAAAACCTGTCTGGCAACGACGCTGCTGATCACAGTAATATATTACCATAAGCCACATGATAGACTTTCAGAGTACAAGCGTGGAAATAAAATATTATTTTACATAAATGACAAGAGGCAGAAACAAGTCATCATTCATTCTAATGGACCACTGAATGTTCACCTGAACAAAGAATGTATCTGTGTTCTAAGTACAATACAGTACAATTTAGAGGAGCCAAATGATACAAAGCTTTGTCATGTCAGGCTAAATTACTTTTCACTCTCTCTAGCAGCTTATATGCCACACATTAAAGTCAACTTTGAATTTTTAATTGAATTTTATTTCCCTTGCAGGACAACAGAACCATAATAACCATTAGCAGCTGTGTGTGCCCAAAATTTCGTAAAGAATCTGCTTTATTTTATGTTGGTTTATATCTAAATATATTTCAATATATCTTGTATAAGATAGACAAGATAACTTTTATATCTTCAACAGAAGGATATCAGCTAATACTAATGGTCCTAAGTCATAGAAGCAGCTGGATGAATGATGGAAAATGCTTTTGTTAAAATTGCAAAAAATAGCCCTTCAGCTAAATCATTTTCCTGCATCTCTCTAACAACAAAGAAAAGCTTTTACAGAAATGAGATTTTTAATGTGCACATCAGAACAACACTACTCCCATCTAAATATCTTTTTTTAAAAGATCCTTTAAACAACTCCTTTCCTTATGATCCTATCTGAAAAATAATTTTTAAAAAAGCCACTTGACAAACATCAAATAGTCAAAGGAGGAAAACACCATTTTAAGACTGAAATTTGTATGTGCATACTTAAGTTTCTTCTGGTTTATTTACTGTTTTGTAATTTTAAAATCTATCCACTAATGCTCATTAACTAGAAAAGTAAATTTAATCAAATATTCATCTAGTAATGATCACACACAAATGAATCAGCCCTTTTCTCTGTAGCATCCAAATATCTAATGGTCCTCTCTGATCAAAATAAAGGTTGGAGCGAGTTTGAAACAGCATAATCTGTATCAGTCCTAGAGCAGGCAAAAACAGTGTGCGCATTTGCAGCCTAATTTATCACTACCAAGTCTGAGGTGTTTGTATGTTATAAACTTGTGACTTTTTGTTGCCTTGTCCCTCAGCTCCTCTGAAATAATTAAAGTCACAGTATATTCTTCTGGAAATCTGGAATTCTTTCCTGTGTTTTGCTGAGCATGGACTTGTCAGACTGGAACTTTTTCAAGATGCAAACCTTGCCAGGAAAAGAAAATTCAAAATAATGCAAAACAAACTGCTGAAGAGTTCACAAAAAAGTAGAAAACATGAAACCATTATCAATCTATTTAAATTACAAATAATCTCTACCAAGATGAACTTACTGTTTGCTGCACTGAATCCATCGGTCTCCATCTTTTCCACAGTTTCCTTTTGTTGTGCCTTCTGTATTAAGCTTTTCATAACAAAATTTGTCAGATCCTGAAGACTCTATGGATGAAGAAAAAAGAAACGTGCTTTCCACTGGCAACATGAGAGCTTTGAAAACTGCACAATTTATTGCAGCAGTTCTCTGTAATTTTTTAAATACAAAACATCCATCAAAAAAAAACACATGTGTGTGCAAAGATGGTATTTTTCAGTAACTACAGTGGGAAACCACCAGGCTAAACTGAAATACCTACTGATGGCTTTTTTAACTAATGCTCAGTAATTCAAAATTTGCTCTGAACTTCTGAAAATGTAGCCTCCACATTACCTGAATTTTCTTCAGCACATGAAATTTATCTGTGGTCTAATTTTGTTAACTTCATAACAGTTGTACATAGATTTAAATCTAGTTGTTTTCACTGATGTCATTCCTGATCTGCATTTCAGAAGATCAAAAATTTTATATATGACATTTATGATAAGCATATGTTCTAACATCAACTCCATGTTTATTTTACTCTATTTTTCAGGTGTTGATAGCAAAACCAAAGTTGAACAGCCAAAGTGTAATTTCTACTTATTTTTAGGAGTAAAAATTTGAACTAATAGCTTTTAAACCCACAATTATTTACTAACACGTTCTTTTTTTTTTCTAAAAATGAATTTTAAAAAAGAAGAAAGAAAAGCACAACAATTATATAGAGGAAGACATGATAATAAAGGTAAATAAGACAGAGTAGTTTCAGTAGCAGTCATAATTAGACAAGAAAACGTTAAATGCCAGAGTACAGTAGATCCTGGGAGTTCTGCTCTGCTGAATTGTCTCAAACAATTGTCTCATTACACAAAACATTCATCCCCTCTAGACTTAAATCTGTACTATGCATATTTAAATTCGCACCAATGTACTAATTTTCCCGACTTGTAGGATGTTCCAGCAGAGAGGCAAGCATGAATCATTGCTGGGATAATGGGATTGACAACTCTCATTTAAAAACACCCACAACATCTGGTTTTGAACTGTACCCAAAAAATCCTCAAACCCCCTCACCCTGGTAACATTTGCTGCCCTACCAAAGTTTGCAGCCACATCACATCAGACCAGTCTGACACCACTCCCAGATTCAGGATTTCAGCTAGCAATCAAGCCACGGTTTCCCACTGCAGTCTACTCACTCTACTAATCAGAAAACTTTAACTTAGAGTGACAAGAACAAAAAATAAAAATACTGCAAACACAAAACAAAGGCTGGAATGAACTAGAAATAAAAAATATTTAAGGTAGTTAAAGTCAACCTACTAGATCCCCAGATATACTTGCACTGATTATCTCTTGTCTTGCATTCACCATTATAGCAACGACCCTAAACAAAACACAACATGTTAGCAATGAAAACTGAACACTACTTCATCTCCTTCCCCTCCCATGACAAATGTCTCATTTTGACTCTTCACACACATGTTGGGGTGTATAACAGTTTTCATGGATTTGGGTAGATGGAGAGCACATTTTGGCCCAGATTCCCAAAGCCAGTTGGTGTCCAATACATATTGACATTTCAGCAGTTGCTTTATATTTCCCCTTTACATAATTATAAAGAACTTATTAATATAGAGTGTAATAAAAGATCTACATGTAAAATGTAGAGATACCAAGTGGATTTTATTTAAAGTCGAAGTTTGGACTATTCATGGAGTGCATAAAGCACAAGCAACATTGATGTCAAAAGGATAAAATTTAAAGAAATATGGAATACAGAATTAAAAAAAAAAAAACAACCCAAAACCAAAACAATAATGTGTATTTGGTTAATTTCTATTTGCTGATGTGCAATTTTAAACATAGCATACCTGATTAGAATCACAGGCATACCCATCTTGTTTATGAAGATTCGGTGGACACTGAAAAAAATTAAGATTTTTTTTTTTTGTTATGTGTCCTGTAATAATACATCAGAATATCACATATGGAATTTTCCTGGGTTTAAGACAACTTCACAACATATAATGGGGGTAGAGAGCATAACTGGTGCAGGAATCTTTATAGTTACAAATACAAGTGAAAAAAATCAACATCTTGAGCCATGAAATACATGGTTTGAGTCTAAGTAGAAATATTCTAAGTAGAAATTAAGGAGGTGAGGTAAAATGAAAACAAGTGTGCTCAGTCACAGGACATTTGGTAGCTTATACTGGGGCTATGATTGCAATGCTGCCACTGCATTCATTTCAGCTCCATTGCAAAAGTAAGCGAGCACCCAGTTGTAGCCTACCAGTCTATTGCTTACAGAGATGGGGGGGGGGGGGTATGATACTGTTTCCTGTGTTCTCTTGGCATTGGAAACTTTTTTGGTCCAGAAGCCTCAGAGTGCTAAAGCTAGGAACAGACCACACTTAAAGTTTTTCCTCATTCAAAATGGACTTGTGAAAGTTTGGGAAGGGTATGCTGCTGCAAGGTACTGTATTAGCCAGTACTCTGAGGGCAGCTTTCTAGCTTGAGAAAGCTCTTCTCCCTCCCGTTAAGAATGGTTCACCTAATGAATAAAAGATATACAATAAAATACCAGCAATAGCTACTTATCTGTAAGTATGGATGTCCCAGATGATAAAATAAAAAAAAGTTATTGTTATTTATTGGCATCTATAATTACAGCCAATGCCCGAAGAGAATGTGATCCATCCTGAATCTTACTTCTCCAAAGCTAAGAACCTCATGCAGTAGATGACTGCATCAGTTATGAAATTCTCATATAAACTCAAAGTTTATATAAATAGAATTAATATATAAATACTCAGTATTGAAAAGGTGCATATATTACCTAAAGCATCAAAATTGCTGTGAAAACTGAAAATGTGCAGAACATTGCTATTTCTTCCCAAACTTCCGAGTATTAGCCAAATGTTTTCAGGAGAAATGGATAATAAGATCCACAGCTTTTAAAATTCTCATACATGTACACACTCCTAAAAAATGTAACACTTCATACAAATCTTAGGAGCAGCAACTGTGGGAGTTGGGGTTGTTTAGCCTGGAGAAGAGGAGGCTTGCAAGGACCTTCTCACTCTCTACAACTACCTGAAAGGAGGTTGTAGCCAGGTGGGCGTTGGTTTCTTCTCCCCACATAACAAGTGATAGGATGACAGGAAATGGCCTTAAGCTGCACCAGGGGAGGTTTAGATCTGATATTAGGAAAAATTTCTACACCAAAAGGGTTGTCAAGCATTGGAACTGCCCAGAGAAGTGGTAGAATCACCATCCCGGAGGTATTTAAACAACATGTAGATGTGGCACTCAGGAACACATTTCATTGGTGGACTTGGCAGTGCTGGGTAATACCTGCACTCAATGACCTTAAAGGTTTTTTCCAACCTAAACGATTCTATGCTTCTATACTCATTTAGCTGTAATGTTCTACATCTATAGTTTAAAGTATTTTACTTCATAAAATCTTACTGTTATTACCTTTGAATACATTCAAATTTGAAGTATATTTGTATTATTTAAGTTATAGACCAGGCTAAAAATTTTTTGTTAGTATTAAGAAATAATCACCCACACGCCCCATCATTTTAGGTATGTGAATGTGCAGTTTGTTAATCCAATTTTCCTCTTAAATTAATATAAAAAGAGTGCAAACAAGCATCAAAAGTGTAAGTGGAGAAGGTTTTTGTGCACATACCTGTCCAGAATCCCCAGTGCAGTACTCTGCAATATCACATTCATTCACTGCGTATCGACAGTCGTAACCTCGAGGGAAAAACTAGAAAATGAAGAATACAGTTCAGGACTAAGATTACACCCACATAAGCTGTTCCTTTTCATTCATAAAACACACTCTAAACTTTAACAGGTTGCACATGACCACGGACAACTGAAAAGAACAATAGATATATGGCAGCAACACTCACAAGACATGATGTATTACAGCAGGGTCCATCACTACAGTGAGCTCCGTTAGAAAGAGAGCACTTCTTACAACAGTCTGCATAGCATTCCTGAAGAAAATATCAAGCAAAAGTTTAGGTTTTCATTTTAAGTAAGTTTTTTCTTCCCAATCTTTCCAAAAAACTATCATGTAGCAGCCAACAAAAGACTGAGTTTAGCACTGATGACCTGAAATTATCAGCTGGAAGAAGACTTCCCAATACTCAAATATTGAAGTTAAGGGACAATATAATGCTATAGCAACATGGGGATTCACACCTTCTGAAGCCTCTTCACAGGTGTGGAACAGCCTTTGCCAAATGCATGCTGCTTAATCAACTCATATTGAAGGCAGACAAAAAAATTAAGAAAACTAATTATGGGTACAATTTAAATACTAGAGTTAGGATTCAAATTTACAGGGCAGATTTTTGCAAAAACATTATTGGAATATTTCTACAATAGAGAAGGAAACAACAGTTTACTTGTTCTGTCCAAACACAGGCACCTATCTCCAAAGTATCAATAAGGAGTCTCCCACTCCAGACACACTACCCAGGAAAAGTAAAGGGATAAAGCACTTCTACATTGCAAATCAAAAACTGCTGGGAAACAGCTGCTTCTTGTCATTGGTATAACAGGAAGTGTTCTGAGGACACTCTCTGTCTTTGCACTCATTCTCATTTTAAAAAATGTTTTAAGATGGTGCTTTAATGAACTTGTTCCCAAACAATAAGAAAAACAAATTTTCATAACCTTTCTCCCCTCCCTTACCAATCACTTAGTTTATCTTAATATATTTTGTAAGAAAGACTTGTGGAGTAATATATCTCAACTTGCCATTCGGAAACCGCAATCACATTCTTCTCCTGCTTCTACATATCCATTTCCACACTCTGTGGTTTCGAAGAGCTGAAACAAAAAAAAATAAAAAAAAACACCCCAAAGTAAGAATAAAACTAGTGTCAAATGATTTTTTGGTCCCACGCGACCCATTTCTGTGGTGCTACAGACACACACTGTCACGTGCTGTGCTTTGGCGAGGGGAAAGGCAGCGTGTGTTTCAAACGCTGCTGTTCAGAATTGATGAGACATGAAAGATGTACAGTTAAATCACATGGATGCTAGTCTTTAGGACAATACTGATCTCAGAAAATTATGATAAATAGAGAGACACTACAATGACATGCAAGGGGACAACATCTGAACTTCAGTCCTGTTCTATGGACTTCCAGTTCTCTGACAGTTCCCTCAAGAAATGAGTCTGCAATATCATCTCTGGGATCTACTCAGGTACCCATTCTTGCTTATGCAATTAGCTACTGCCTATTCCTGTGCACCAAGTTTGTGCATGAAAATAACAAACATTAAAAAACACTGCCAAAAAGCAGTTCCATGTGTCTTATTAGTAAGTTTTACACAACCACATACAGATAGTGCTAAACAGCTAATTCCCTAACTGGGATATTAGTAGCAGAAACATATTCACTAGAACATGGTTGAAATGAAAAGTTAAAAGTTAAGTTAAAATGAGAACAGATAAATCTACAGCTAGATAAAAGTGAAAGATGCAAGTAAATGTTCTTTCTGCTTGGGTTTAGTGGAAGGAAGCTGTTGAGGATCATGCCGATATGAAACATAACATATAATACAAGTGATATTTAAACTTGGATGGAATTCTTCTTTGGTACTTTGGAGGGGGGAGGGCAGATGCCTAATAAAAATGCCTAATAAAAACCAAATATAAACATTTTACTTTTGTTGCATAAACCACATAGGTCATCAATAGCATCTACAATTTTGTGTACCAGAAGCAAAACTATACTGAAGTAATACCAATACATACTCCTCTTCAGCAACAATGTTGTCACGATTAAAAAACCACTGAAATTTCTCTTTCCTCCCCCCTCCCCCAATAAGCTGCTGTTTCTACTACACTTCAGAGGAAACAGCAAGATCTCTTACTCTAAAACTGAAATTCAGTTCTCTGTCAAACAAGAAAATTACAGAACACAAGCATGCACATACAAATTTCCTATGGAATTAATCAGGAACCATCTAATGTTCATATATATGTCAGAACATAATTCAGGTTATAATTTAAAAATGTGACTGCTTAAAAAGAACTATGTTTTATTTACCTAAGAATTAAACACATCATTTTGAACCTGAATTCCTAACCTCCAAATAACAGGATTCTAAACACTGTATGATTACTTTTCCCCCAAAGCACTTCAAAGCTGTAAAACACTGATACAAATAATGTATAAAGATAATTCAAACATTACCCTGGGAGCATTTTCCCCAAAGTAAATCAAGTCTTTATTCTGTATAGAGTTGACAACTTCACATTACTGTGCTAGACAACTACCATTAAAAAATGAAGCTATGTTTTTATATTTCCCTACTTACTACTTTCTGTAAAAATTCTTACATTCTTATTCTATAAGCAAAGATTGTTACCCTGGAAAAGATTAAAAACACTCAAACAAACCAAATTGATTTTAGTTAACAGTGCAGGGTGATGGTCTACCAAAGCACAGTAAACAGAACAGCCTAATAGCCTCACGAGATATTAAATTCTACAAGGACAGCAAGTTTTAGACCATGATTAAATAGAATATTAATACTTTGGATTGCTCTTACTTGGCAAAAAGAGCCATGTGGAATATTTTTATACTATTCTGCTTTAGAAGGATGTCATGCTAACATTGCCTTAGAAAAAATTATGACCTTGCTAAGTTTTCAGGTGAAAAAAAGCATTGGATGGTACAAGGAAACAGTTATGAATTACAGGGTTTGCTAGATGTACAGTTGAAATGAAATGAAATGAAGGTAACTTTGAGAACAACCACGAGCTACTACTGTCTATATGAAATGAGCTATGGATTGATTTTTATTTCCTAATGTGGTGACTTTCAATCTTTTTAACAACCTCAGGCAAAACGTCCAAGAATTGAGTGTATATGAAGCATGTACTATGACCTCACTTCTAGATTTATTTTGCACTGCTTCCAGCTTAATAAGTAGTGCATTTATGCTGATGGGGATTTAGCTAGCTGTGAAAAATCAACTGCAATATTTGTCATTATTTCAGCATGAAGAATTGATGGAAAACAAGTCGTGTTCCTCTCAACATTATTTTTAAATGCTATGGAAATGAACAGGCAGCTAATTACAAACAACCTCAAGGAAATACCCACATAGACATCTGAATAAACTTTAGAACAGATGTATGGTAGTGAAATTATTACATTTTCATTACGATGTTTAGTAGACGTGCTGACTACCAAATTATTTATTACCTTTGTTGGCCTGTTAAAGAGACAGGCACCTCCCCCACGAAGTAAAAATTCTTTGTATTCTGCAATGCTGCATTTGGAGAATTTCCTGGAATGGTACACCCTAAAATGGCAAAGAATTAGTTGAGTAAATGACTTGAAACACTACCAGTAACTGGAAAGGGGCAAAGGGATCACAACATTTTTTAAATACTGTAAATCCCAGTTTCTTACAACCACTGTGTGCAACAGTATAACAGCTCAGTCTTATTCTCAAACAATAAAACCGGAACAACAACAACAAAAAATTTAAAATGCTTTGCATTTTTATATTTCTACTTTATGGGTGTACAGTATATAAAACTGTAGTCTTCTAATCTTCTCAATAAGGTGAAACCACACTCTCATAATAGGTGCTATGCATCCTGTCGATGGCATGCATAATCCAATGTCTCCTTGGGTTTGTATTTAGCATCTACAAGATGCTACAGCAAGAAGTTTCATAGATTAATTACAGACTGGTAGAAAAATAATTTCATTCCATTTTTTTTTCTGTTATATTTGCTAATCTCATTTCACGTCTCCCTAGTTCTTACACTGGAAGAAACAGTAATCATTTGTTCACGATGTTACAGACTTCTCTCATATTTCCTCACCTCCATCTTTTTCCCAGACTAATGAAAACTTACTTTATTAGTAATTTCTCACACAGAAACTGTCTGATGTTTGTATTAGTCATGTTTTGAGATCTGGGAATGAGATCTATACACAGTGTTAAAGATCAGGGTAACCCTGCCATAAGGAGGTTCTTCATCCCTTTCCTAGCAGCTCACTGCTACCAAACTACCATTTCCCCACTGAATAATTCTATACATAAAAACTGTCTTCTGATGCCCCACTGATGTGGTTAAGTGAAAAGGCTTGAAACTGCAGCTAATTATTCACTCATTTCATTAGTCAGTTCTTTTTCAGCTCCTGGGTGACTATCTGCTCATGGCATTTTTGTTTACTGTTATCTTCTCTACAGAATACCTTTTCTACTGTTACTGTAGTATCAGTCCAAGGCTGATAGTTTGATGAGTTCACCATGGGAAGGAAGCAAGTATCTATTTTGATCAATGCCTTACTTAGGATTCCAAAAGTAAACTTATGGAATGGTTTTCTGTTGCATTCATAGAGTGGCTGACAATTGCAAATCTATAGGGAAGCCACGCAGTTATTCAATTTCCAAATACCATATGAAGAAACTAAGCTCCTTTTATCTTATTTGCAAATAATTTTTTCCCTGATTTTTTCAATCAAGCTTCCATAGTAAGGAAGATTCTGACAGGAAGTGATTTATAAGACTCAAAATTCTGCATTTCAGAAGTTATCCTTTTCTAAGCAATTGCTTACAGTATAGAGAAAAGAATCTCTGGTAACTAAGGTTTTGAGTTCCAACTGCTTCTAGTTTTTCATTTATTAGCACTAAAACACATGGATAAAACCCAGTACATAAATATTTCTGTCATAATTTAAACTATGAACTCATTCCAGAGTCCTCAATTACTGATATTTATGACATACCCTGTTTCCTCCATGATGCAACCACCCCAGGATTCAGTGCAGTCACACTCTTCTCAGACAAGACCAAAATACAACAGAAAAGGAAAGAAGTTATAAACATGCTTACAATAAATATAAAGTACTCACTATAAAAATGGACCTTGACTAAATATACAAAGATTTGATGGTTGCTTGGCTGTACAGACTTGAGCTCCAAAAAGGAAACCAGCCCACTTCAAGACATATTAATATATTTAATAAATGTGGTACTTTCAAATTACCATATGTGCATCTTCTTAGACTCAACACGAAGTTTCAGGCAGTACAGAAAGCTAAAAATAGCTGGCAATGTTCTTCCCTACATGCTCTCAAAACAGGCAGCACCAGGCTGTGTGCAGTACACATAGTATTGATGATTTAAAATTGTTCACATTTTCTCCTCCCTGAAATATATGTAGAACACCCTGAAAGAGAATTGTTCCTGGACAGGCCAGTTTTTTTCCCTTTGGAATAGAATTATTAATAGTAATACGTGAAACAGCCAATCAAACATTCATTGGAAAAAGTAGTTGAATGAAAATGGATTTACAGTTTACTTACAGCTGTAGCATGTAAGTCAACAGTGACCAAATTCATAACATAAAAACAAAAGATCAACACTTTATGGTTGGTAAAACAGAAGTTACAAACTATCCATAAAATTATCTGCCAAAGAAGTAATACTGGCAAAAAGAGAGTTTCTGTATTGTAATTACTACTGGAAAACCACACTGTCTCTCCTTTGGAAATATTCACAGATAATTTTTAAGGTTATTCCTGATCTATGCAGGTCTTCTATTAATCCTTCTCTATAAAGAACATCCAAATAAGGAAACTAAAGCATCAGATCAAAAACCTCTGTATTACAGTTAAAAAATATTTTGATTTGCAAATTAAATGAACTCTGTTTTACCTGTAATCAAACACAATAATATAGAACATGTCTTAGCAATTTGTCAATTTACACAAGGCAAAAGCAATGCTTTAGAAAACAACATTTCCTAAACACCGTTTTCTAATTCACAGATTTTTGAAGTGATTCCACAATGAAGTCAACTTTGTAATTCATGTTTTTGAAGAGGAAACAAAGGTAGCCAAGATGCTCATAAAATGCAAGTAAAAAAATTCAAGTTTTCTTTAGCCTAAAAAAGGGCTTTGCAGCAGCTTTTTTACCAACACTACATGTGTTAAGGCCACATAAGTCTAATCTGGCTGCAAAGCAGCTAAGTAACAAGTTGAGCAAATGTCACACTGGACTAGGTTAGAGCTTCTTATCATTTCTTCAATTATAAGTCAGGTATTTTTGCATTTTAAGAAGTCAGTGACTGTGCTATAAGATTTAGAGATTTCATTATGATAGGAGTTCTAAATTAAATTAATTGTGTTTTTACCAAAATACCTTTGAATGCTGGTTATGAATCTAACCTGCTGATACTGGACATCACTGAGGTCACTGCAAAGTAAATGCTAAACTTTTGTCTCTTATTTTGGTTAAACTCAAATCCTAGTGCATATATTTCCAAAAGCAGCAATTCTTGTTCTGCAGTTACAGCAATTCTGGCATTTCTTTCAAACAGTACAAAGGAAGAGTTTATATGTTTAGCTAAGAAGACAAAAGAAGGCTCCATGTCCATATACATACTCGGTTTCCTTGTAGCTGGGTCCCATTGTATTCCAAGGTTCTGAGCAAGACTTTGTGCTAATTCCTGTGCCATGGGCAAAGGGAGGCCATACTGCATTTCAAGGGGAGCAAATTTAAAAAAAAAAAAAAAAAAGAAAAAAAACACATCATTTACTGTAACAAACACTACACCAACTCATTCTGGCTTACCACATACCTACTACTTCAGTAATTCTGAAGTAATAGTACAGTCAATCACAATTCTGTGTGCATATGAGGAAAAAAAACTCAATAAAGCTGAGTTTAACATAACAGAAAAAAATTTCCTCCCTTAACCTCAGGAAATCTCTCCCTGCTGGTTAACCTAAGGAAATAAGTCTACTTGATATATATGTAATACAGTTTTGTATAGTATGATTAACCCATGTTAAAAAAGGAGGCTTTAATTATCAATTTAACATTATATTGAGATAAAAAAATAACAACAATAAGAAAAAACTCAATACACTGGGACAGTTTTTTTCTAGTTTCAATGATGAAAAAATTCAGTAAGAATTGCATATCATTGGCATTTCAGAAGACCAAGCCTCTTACAGTGAGAAACCCCAAAAAAATATTAAGTGCTGCATCTGAAACTCACAATTTTTTGGGTCTAAATTTCTGTCAAATATATTACAAGCCAATTTAAATTCTTATTAAGACAATAATGCAGGAAGGAAAAATGTTTTTTAAAAAGAACAGCATACTGAGCAGTAGTTTAATGATGATCAAGAAGGCTGGCTATGAGAATCCTAACTTATTAATAAGTAAGTTACCTTTAAAGCCCTGAATACTGAAACACATAACCTCTGAGGTTACAATGTACAGATTCTATTTTATTTCACGTTAGTAATGAAAAAAAATTACCTCGTTTACTCCAACTCCTCTGGCCACAGAACAAACCCCTCCAAAATAACTTAAGCTGCTCCTTTTGTAATGAAATGTCACGTTCCTTACAAAAAATAGAAATTAGGAAAATATAACACACTGACATTGGGCACCAAGAGTTTATTGAAAGACCATACTCTCACACATACTATGATAGATTGCATGTACATTCATCTTCTTCTAGCATCAAAAGCAACTGAAAGTTTACAAACAGAATACCAATATTGAAAGAGGTGATTAGATACAAGCTTTGACAAAAATACTATTTTTATATTGTGGAGTCAGAATCAGTCTTAACCCACAAACAAACCAAGCACAGAAAACTAGAGTAGTAGACTCCTAAGACAGTACAATGATAACATTTCTTTAAAAAGTTAACAGTATACTCCAATTTATAATCTCTCAGGAAGGAATTCTGTTCTGAAATGTATCAGTGTTGAGAATTTTTTTAATTATGATCTTAGTCCAAACCAATACAAGTTCTAGTTTCAACTCCAAATGAAAACACTGACAAGTATGCCTAAAGGGAAAGTAATTTAATACTGTTCTTTAACCCTGCCTACTTTCAATTACTGTTAATAAGCCCCAAATAATTTAGATATAATAATTAGTTAAGTAATCCGGAAGACCTAAATTATTTTTAAAAATGCCTATAAATTACTATGCACGATACCTATTTTAACTTCATAGTCATAATAATAAATCTACACATGCCTACAAATGACCTACAATGACCTTGCACGATCTACAAATGACTCTAATCTTCAAAAATTAATTGATTTTTTAAATTACAAGATACTCCATACAGGTATATATTTATTTTTCAGAACATTCTGACAGCCATCAGAACTTCCAGACTGCAGCCTAAATAAATGCTTACAGCTGGAGGCTTTACAATAGTCAGAACCTCAGTAAGGGCTGAGGCTGACAGGCTCTTCTGGAAATGGTCTAGTTCAACCCCCCTTCTCCACGGAGCTTCAGCTGGAACACGCTGCCCAGGACCATGTTCCACTGGCTTTGGAATATCTCCAAGCATAGACACTCCACAGCCTGTTTACAGCAGCCTATTCCAGCATCTGACCATCTTCAAAGTGAAAGGGTTTTTTTCCTTATGTTTAAATGGAATTTCCTGTATTTCAGGTTGTATTTGGTACCTTTCACCAAGCACCACTGTGAAAAGCCTGTTTGCTCTTGCTGGCAAACTCCTCAGTAAGAAACATTATATGTCAGCAGCACTTTGCCTACGTTATGAAGAATGCAATTAGCATTGTGTTGTGATGCCTGTATTAGGGAAATCTGGAGGAAATTCTTCATCCCTTAGTTTTATCTTCCTCTGCAGAAGATGAATTATAGGAGAATCCCATGGAAGACATTTGTCAGTTCATCCTCATAGTATGTCATGCTGCTGAGAGATGGCTTAAGATTTTTATGCTGCTTAGGGGAACACACATTTCCTCCTCTTTGCTTACAACGCCGTGAAGTAAAAAAACCAACATGCTCAGGGTTGAAGTTGTGCCTAATGATGCAAGTGGAATTTCCTCTCAAAATGCATCGTGTCTCAGAAAACAATTCATTCCAGTTCTAAAGGAGACCTTCCACTAACAAATCATCACGGCAGCTACATGTGTGAATAAATATACTAACTGGAATGCTCTTGTGGCAACACATAATGCTGTCAGCTCTGCCCTCTCCTGATCTTTATTGGGAAAGCAGTACATAACACACCTAATTAGCAAAGCTAAGTGTCCTTAAGGGCTCATCAGAAGACACTTCAAATATGTGACAGTGTCTCCAGGTTTTAAAGTCATTCAAATTTCATTATAGATGTATATCAACATGACCATATCACACCTATTAAAAACAGGCTAACATGTTAAATTTGGATTAAGCTTCCTAAGGAAGGCAGATGTTGATTGATGCAGCGAATATACTGAGCAAAAAAGTACGAAAGAAGAGAAGTAGAGAGAAAAGTATATACAACTGATATTCTAAGCCATCACATAATGGTACATACGAGAGCAGGTGCACAGCATCAGCGTGCTGTTTGATGTAGTGCTGTCGGTATTTGGAGAAATCGTGGAGCATCTGCAGAGGGTCAGGGTGAATATTTATACGATCTCTGTCTGTCCAAGTTTCCACAGCAACAAGAACCACCCTGGTGTTCAGCTGTTCCTTGTATATCTGAGGGCAGAGACAGGACAGGCACAGGAGTAGAACACTGGGTCAAACATGCACAGTTAGCCAGTAAGAGTAAAGCGGAAGGACAAGAGGGATAAAGCAGGAGGAAAATATGGGGAAACAGTTAGCTGGAAATGCCTTGGATTTCCTAGAAGTTAATATTCTGATCAACCTAAATTTTATGTTTTAGAGGACAAGAACATCCCTTGCTGCTCTTTTTTTTTAGCCACTCCATTTTCTCTAAAATTCTCATGTCAAATAATTTTGCCACTGAGTTTTGCAGAAAACCTGTACAAAAATCAGCAAAGAAGAAATGTAAAGGTACACTGGGTGATCTCAAGGAAAAAAAAAAGACCTCAAAGACAAAGAATAGCCAAAGACAATCCTTAAGCGGAGATTAAATCATTTCTCAGTTCTCCAGTACATTCAAAATTTAGTTCACATAATGCTTGATTTCCATTTATATTGTATAATCACTGAGTACCACTCAAACAATGTGAGGATTAAGTAAAAACATTAATTTTTCTTTTAATTTAATGTCACTGTAGCAATAGACAAGGAAAAAAGAATCAGGCCCTAATAATAACAAAACAGTTTTAAAATACACTTTTTAACTTTGTGCATGATACTTGATTCCAACAAAAAACTGCTGCTCTCTTCAGGTTGAGGTAAAAAAACTGCCAAATTTTATTAACTAAGGTTATGCAAAACTTTCAGATCTACAAAAGACGCATTCCTTATCCACCCTGACCAGAAATCCAGTGTTTTGTACCAGGGCAGCATTATCCTTATTAAAAAGTAAATGTATAATGTTCATCTTAGGTAAAAAGGACAATAAACGTAAGAGCAAGAGAGAGCAACCAGTTATGTTCAATTTTGTCCAAGACCCTTGAAGGAAAAGAAGAGCATTAGTATTCTTCAGTCTGAGGAAGACGGGCTGACAACATACACAGAAAACGGTATACAAAATGAGAAAAATCAATAAAATTAACTCCCCTGAAATAACATATGGGTGGATCAATAAAGACTTTACTTCTGCTTGCTGAGACAAAAACTCTATTTCCTGAAGCAAACAGGAGGGAAAGAAAAGAAGATGGAGCAGAGAATCTGAAAGCCTCTGAAAGCCAAGATCCTTTTCCCAAAAATAAATCAGTAAGAAATGCAGCCCACCCTATGGACACAAGGGAATAACAAGGCAGAAATTCTTGCTCCTTTTCATGTTTTATTTAAAGAAAAGGCCATTAAGATGCCATTTTGGAAGATCTCTATAAGGGGACTGAATTCTACAGTGGAGTAAAGCTGAATGTTTCTGCATACACACACACACACACAGAGCAAATAAAAATGGAAAGCAGACAGAATAGTCAGAGAACTGAAAGACAGATGAAATCATTTTTGTTAAAATGCAGAAGAAATATAAAGCAATGATCAGATGAGAAAAAAATAAATGCACCACCTTTTCCTTGGGAATATACTATATAAATTGGAGAAATATTATTTCAATTATTTACATTTTACCTGCTCTAGTAACTTTTCTTTAGACTACTGGCATTTTCAGACTGTTACAGAAAAATATTCCAAAACACTTCCCATATGTCACGTATTATAAATATATTCACCTGAATTTTCAATTTATATACAGTATACTTTATATGTAAGATACTAGGAACAAATACTGTATTGTTCCCTCTGAGACAAACAAATTGTTGACAATGTTTCGCACTGAATCATATTACACAGTTCCACTGGTATCAATAATGTCATATAGAAAAGGGACTCAGAGTCAGCATTTGATAGCCTTTGTATTCAGAATTACTAGAGAATCTATCCTGTTTTCACCACAAACGGAACTCTGAAACATGTGGTCACTATATGTGTATCAAAAAGTGGGGGGGGAAATCAAATTTTACCACAAATATTACTTTTAGTTTATATGCTGTAAGCAAAATTGTTCTAAATTTAGTTACAGTTACAAGTATGGTATCTTGTGTCACAGCCATTTATAATGTACTACAGGGGGATTTTGTTTGTTCAGCTACAAATACAGATTTATCAAGGAGAATTTTTTACTCACACTCTTCTTCTCCCAGTAGATATGTGTATCCTTTGTGGACTATACTCCCAGTTTCAATCGCTTGCGGTTAGATTTGTTTCACTAAATCTAGACTTGATTAAATATCATTCTTAATTGGTGACAGATACCTCCTTTAAGGACAGAAATCTCCTTTAAGTTTAAATCACCTCTGCTAAGGGCAAACTCTGGCAGCCGCAAGCTTTGGGAAAAATGTCATGAAAAATCTGGTGGTTTCTTATACATTCACCCCAGGCTATCCTTCTGCAGAAGAACTGGAAATGCACTTTAAAATGTAATTTTCAAAGCTGTTTTTTTTTTTTTTTTTTATCCTGGCATTTGAAAACATTAACTTTTTTAACACAGTGCTAAACTGAAAGTCAGAGAATCAGTTTTCAGAAGAAACATGGATACTTACAGCATCTACAAGGTTTACCACAGACTTTGCAAAATTGTTTGTGTATGCATTTGAAGAACGGTGCCTTTTGAACTAAAAGGAGAAAAGAAAGTAGAACACAGTAAGAACTTAAATATTTATTACTAATTCTTTATTTTTACACCATGAAAGGAAAATTAATATTTTAAGAAACAGTAACAGAAAAACTCAATAAGCTCTTTAAGTCACAGCCTACATCTCATATTCAAGAATCGCTGGAAGATAAAGGAAGCCATGTATGCGAGACAGCCTTTCACATCTGTAAAAGGAGCATTTAGCCTCAAGAAATATCCTATTTAGAAATAGAGTTCAAATGTCTGAGACAAAATTACAGAAAAACATGAACATAAACATGAGCTCAAGACTGAGAGGATACCGTACCCATTAAAAGTGTGTTTAATCTGAGGAGTTACCTATCAGACTGTACTAGACACATTCCATGACTATAAGACATGAAGATGAAGCATTTACCACTTGTCCTGTGCACAGCTCTTTGCAAAGGCATCCTTTCTCCACAATAGCTCAAGACTCTTATGACAAGTAGCATCAGTCATATCAAAAGACAAAATGGAAGAGGGAGGGCATGGCAGAAGTAAATATGTGTTTGAATGTGAAAAGAGTTGAGCTGATATCTTAAATTTTAGCTTTAATTTCTTTTTCTATTTTTATAGACTTAGATGAGCTCTATTCGAAGTTCTGCCTCCTAATTTCTGTGCATGTCATTACAATGGTTTCATGTCTTTCACCATTCTGCCCCAAAAGTCCCTTCTGTTCCAAGTCAAATTTTTTAGAGATGCAGCTATGGTATCTGAAAACGAATCCATGACTTTCAAGAAACTGTAAAATTATAAACCAAAATTACATTACACAATATGATTTGAAGATAGAAAAGTAAGTCTTCAAAATTTCATAGAAAAGGCAAACAAAAGTGCTTAGAACAAAGAGGGCAAAAAGTTCTTTACAAAAAACCTCTTACTAATTTCAACTACTAGTTGAAGTGACAAATTACAAAACAAAAAATTACAAAATCCCCTCTTTTCCAAAATTATGCTTGGAGCAAAGGTGAAAGTAACACTAGAAGCATTCTAAAAGAATGCTTTTAAAATTAAATTATCTGTTTCTGAAATTGAAAGCAGAAGAGTGACACACACACATTATATTATTAGATAATAAATTTTACAATCTGTTAAATTCAACTAATTTTTCCCCAATCAACCTAGTTTTATATGGATGAAATGCCATAGAAATAATAAAAAAAAAGTTCATCAAACTTAAGGGTGACACTCATTTGACTGCAGGAAGACAATTTTTTTTACAAATGCATTTATTCACTGCCAGGTTCCGCAATGCTTCAGCACAATCACAGCATGTTTTAATACCCAAAGATCCTACAACATAGGTTTGCAGAGAGCCATCCCCCTATAACTATTCCCAAAACAAAGCACTTTCAGGTACAGTGCCAGTAGGTGCTTAGGATGTACACTGAGAGGAATGTACATATCACAAAACCCTGCTCCCTAGCGAAACCATGAAAGTGGGTCAGGGGGAAAGGGGAGCTTTGGCTTTATGTTTTGAGCCAATCTCAAACCTTTCCAGAAGTAGAAAGGTAAAACAATATGCTTTGGAAAATGTTTTTGGTTTTCCTGAAAGTACTAAAACGCTAAAATCAATACCAATATACCACATAATGTGTTTAAGCTCAGCTCCTAAACCAGAAATTAATCTAAGCCAGTAAAAAGTGCAACAACCTAACTAAACATATTTAGCTATGTCTTTATTGCTACAGGAAAGTAAAATGTGAAAATACATAGTATTAACCACTTCGTACAATGGTCAAAGAGGTTTAAGATACTTCTTCCAATACAGATCTTTGCTGCAGGGCAAACCTGCCCTCTCCTGGTAAGTCGAAAACCTTGAAATTACATTTAGTGAGCTCCTGGACTGGCAGGTTGTGACTCCTAATTGTGAACACTTTCCTAAGTACATCCGTTTTATTCCTTGAAAAGATTTATTATCTGCTTCTGAGCCACTGACAACTCTGGAACAGAAAATCTTGTAGTCTAAAGTTCTAACAAATAAAATGTGAGGAGAGACAAGATAATGTCTGTAACCACTGTAGTGAACAGAGCGGCTGTCCTTTAAGTATGTCTGTAATACAAGAGGCAAAAGTAAACAAACAGACATAGAAAGATTTTCTCTTCATAAGGAACATCAACCACAGACATCAAAGAATACAACACAATAGTCTTAACTTCAATTATTGTGCCCTACTGCTGTACAACTAACACCTGAACACTCTTACAGTAGTTTTCTACCAGGTAGCTTTACAAATGAAAACAGCTCAGGAAACTTCTGTCCTATGCTTTCCACCCTCTCAAATTTCCTCCACACTACTAATCTCCAAACACAGGTTAAATTTGCCCAGATCACTTCTATGGTTTATTAGACAGATGATGGAAGGGTATATTATATCTTTCTACTCAGCACTGGAATATGTACAAATTACTGCATCCTGTCCTGATATCAGCTGTTTCTTCCCCTAAAACATCAGTCTTCAGTCTTGGCAAAAGAGCCCACAACAACATAAAGCATTGGGAAAATATGCAGTACAGTTAGAGACACAGCAATCTCTTTACTTGCAAACAAAATAAACTGTTTTATCAAGAGAATTTGATGATTTTTTTTTTTTTTTAAAAAAGGCCTTGCTCACACAAATGTCATTCTGGTTGACATTTTCCAGTCATCCTCAAGAAAAAACTGGGAAGAAAGTGGGCTTTCCTCCCCACACTCCTGGGATTTTTTATATGACAAACATTTTTTCAATCAAACAAACAACTTAACCTGCATTTTATTATGAATCCTGTTTATAAGTGCAGAATACCCAGGAAGAACAACCAAGAGAGTTTTGTCTATATGTTTTGCTGCATCAAAATTTAAGTTAGTAAAACTAAACTCAAAGTAACAAATTCTGACCTCTTTCTATATAACTTTAAAGGTAGGATGTAATTTTAGAATGTTTAGTGTGTTTGTTCTGGACATAAATGTTTTGTTGCTTTACTTTATTGGTTATGGGCATATTAAATTAACCATATGATACCAAGGTGATTCAGATTTATTTTGAATATATAATTGTTGTAGAAAATCTTAGGCAACATTAAGCTTCATTAGGTATTATGGCCTATTCTGTGTCTTACAGTACAATTATTAATAGCTGCTAATAAACAAAATACTGGATGCAAAAGTAGCTTATGCAGCACAATCCTGTACATTAACCTACAAATTATCACCCATATTACCTTTGGATTCATAGCAGCACAATCCTGTACATTAAACTACAAATTATCACCCATATTACCTTTGGATTCATATACTTACCATTTTATGGTCATTGACTATCATGAGCTCCAGATATTTCATTTCTTCAAAGACACCGCGAGATAGCTGATGGATTAAAGAAATTGTTTGAGAAATCATGAAGATGTCAAGATTTTCAAAAATAACTGCAGTTGATTTATATTATATATATATTTATTATATATTTATTTTTAATATATTGTATATATATTACATATATATATGGGGGGTGGGGTGTAATGTTGTAAAAAACTGGGTCAGACATTCAACTAGAATAAAGAATCACAGCCCCAGTAACTTTGTGAGTTTTGATAGACACTGGCTGAGAATCTCAGTCACATCATTAAGAACATTCAAAGTCTACTCTTTGTGGCTCAGTGCAGACACCACCATTTCTTCCATCCTCTTTTCATTATGTACTATTCATCACGGATTTAATGAGGAAGGAAGTTACTAAAAACAGATGCACCCTCAAAAATGTGATGTGGATTGTGCAATTCAGTGAAGAAATACAGATTAATGTTCCTTAACTCAATTATTCCCCTAACTGACACATACGCATGTGAAGATCATGAGAACTGCCCACTTATGTTCTCTGAATAACCCAGTTCTGGGTGTCCTCGTTTGGATTTTTGATTTAACCGTGCTACTTAATGAGCCAAATGACAAAAAATGTCAGATATCCACGAAGTAGGCTAAAGTTTCATTCAAAATTGTTCTTTACCCTCAAGCAGACCCAAAACTTAAAACTCTAAATTCATTTTCACTACTAAATTTCAGTTCAATTGATATATTGCTGTTACTGTAGAAAGTTTACTAACTATTGTCCAAATATTCTATTTTTAAAGAACAATCTTGTTTTCTCACTTGATAATTGTGTTATGTGACAATGTTAAGCTCCTAAAAATATTAGTTTCCTAAAGCCTGTGTTCTCTTGACATTAAGAAATACAGAAATTACAAATAATCTTAACTCAGGGTCACACTTTTACTCACTGCTCTCTTTCTTCTCTTTCTCCTCAGCCACTGAAGTTCAGACAGAAAGGGCCATTCAGAACTAGACTCAGTCTCTGTACAAATTACAATTTAAGAATTTCACGGCATTATTTTAAACCACTTAAGTACAGTGAGCGAACCTAAAGTAGATTATCAAAATGAGAACCACCTTTGCTATTGAAAAATTCATTTTTTAAAATATATAAGATATATCAAAACTCAAGTAATTTAGAAATCTGATAGTTAAAGCATGCAAGGAGAGGTAAAGAGATTGTAACCTGGGCTTACAATATATGTTTTCTTCCATCTTGTGTCCTCAATAGCATTAATATGACTGATTAAATTTAGTGCTTTGCAGAAGAAAGCTAAATACAGGTCTTGATGGATGAAAATCTTTCAGTTGCTTTTTGAAAATCTAAATTCCATTGCAATAATTGTGGAAAAAGTCAGGTTAGGATACATTTTTCAAGTTTTTCTAAATAATCAGCAATTTTATATACACTGTTAGGCTAATTTTCAAATTTTTAAGTTACATATACACGATTATTTCCAATATTTAAAAAGTCATTACATAAGCAAAAACATACCAAGGTCCTGCAACTGCTTGGAGGTTTGTGTTCCGTAAGTTCTTTGGATGATATGTGGCCTACTTTTACTTTCCTGATAAGAAAAATATGTGAAATTTTCTTCTAATTAATAATGTTGAGTGAAAGATGTGGTACTTCTTTCAGCATTTATAATTTTTATTATTTTTTCAATGAAATGCAAGCAACCATAGTATCAGTTTGGGATGGTACTAATTTGAAGCAATCTATTTGCAATCCTGAGCAAATGATGGAGCCTCTCTGCTTCAGCACATTTACTGGGCTACAAAACTGAAGTATCACAGATGTCTTTAAAATTATCTGAAAAAAGTCCCTTAAAAGCATTACTGTTAGAGAAAATAGATCATTTATTCCAATAAATCAAATTAAAAAGTCTATATCTGGTTGAAATCTTCCTCCCATAGATGAAAAGCAACTATTACTATTTATAAAAAAACCCTATCTAATTGCAGCAAAATGCAAGAAACCAATCAATATGCTATCCTTAAGAGGATTATTTCACCCTGTTTTATTGGTATGTACAACATTTAAAAAGGTCACGGTTTTTAATGCATATTTCCTTTAGAAGTCTGACATACCCCAAATTATTGCATTTGAGTATCTACTCTAGAAAACAACTCTTTTCTTCTGTAACACCTCCTTTGCAGAGCCTGCCAAAACAAGCAATTCTTTTTAAAGGGCAGGATGCAACTGTTCTGTAACTTTCATAAGAAATACATAACTCACTGAAGGACAATACTGCATATTTTTGCTGAATTTTTGGGGGAAGAGGAGGGAGTTTTATATACTACCTACTATAGTTAAGATTAATCAAGCTGAATAAACTATACACTGAAGGCTGTGTCCAAGATTTATATCTTGCATAGTGAAAACAAAAAATGAGCCTCTGAAAGCTCTCTGTAGAGGTATTATTTTATTTTCTGTAGTTTTCAGAAAAATATGCATCTCATCTGTCTTATTATCTAGAATTCAACTTGAATCCTCAAGTTGGCAAATAGTATCTCACTTTTATAACCAGAACTTCTGCTACACTTAAAAGTTTTACTGAAATACCACACTGAGAGGGAGATATTGATTTCCTTTGTTCACTCAAGCAAGAAAACAGTTTAGTCAAATTCTCTTCTTCCTACTATGTGGATACTGCTGTATAAATATAATCTCCATGAATTTACTGTGTTTGTGTTGTCAGTTTTCAGACTTACAATCTTTATGAGCATGTGCTACATCAAACATAGACACATGGAATGTCATGTTGCTCCTGGGGAGACAGAGAAGTTTTTTAGGATGTAATATTTTCCTGTGTCTCTAAGGTTTCATTCTCTGTCTCAGTGTTGCAGAATCATTTCACTGAAAATAACTCAAATATTTGAATCATTCAAGAGGCAGAAATCTACCTAGTTTTACTACTGTCTATGAAACTGTGTCAGCTCTATTAACAGTTAAATTTTTAAGAACAGCTATATTATAACACTTAATATGAAATAGAAAAATAATAATAGCAAGATATTTGCATAAATGCAGTCCTACATGCTGATCCAGCATTGTCATGTATTTGAATATGCTGTATCAGAATCATTTAAGCTATTCAGTGACCACTGAGGTAACACATACAAAGTGTAAGATACCCAGATAGAATTATCTACTTAATTAAGCTCTTAGTGGAAACATGGTAGGTCAGGAGCAATCTGATGCAACTATTTAGAAAGGAATGTGTGAGTTCCAGAGATCCCTTTTAGGAATTTATAAATACTTTAGTTCAAGTACTAGAGCAAATTGATAAACACTTTTGGACAGTCCATAACAATGTGCTAGAGAAACAGTCTTATTAATCTATTCTCAGCATCTAAATAATCAACAGTATGTAAGAAACAAAAAATTAAAGAGGAGAAAAATCATAGGTAAATCGTACTTACAAATTTCCTGCCTTAAATAAATTCCAATCAAGTGTTTTAAAATACTTTTGGTTTTCATATGAATGCATGAGACACTCATTTATTGATTTGTTCTAATACTTTCATTTGCTATTCCTTGAGCACTCTCCCAAACCAAACAAATAAGATAAAAATAAACTTACTGCACTGTGGGTCAGTTCCATCGGTTCTATCAAGTACATATAAGTACTATCTTCAAACATGCCACTAGAACATGGAGAAAAAGTAGTGATATTTAGGATTACACAGCAATTAGTTTGACTCCCGGATACGAATTTAGGGCTGAAATTAGGCAAACTTAGGGCTGAAAAACTTACCAATATTAAAATAAATTCCATATATGTTCATTACTACCACATGCAGTTAAAGCTAAGAATATATTTTTTTTAAGATATCAGGCACATTTTAATGAATCAACACTAAATGTGGTGGCAATGAAATGATAAAGTACCAAAAAGAGTAAAGATTTGACCGTGGAAAGAGGAAGTACTAAGATACACATTACCATGCAGAATACAATCAACAGCTGAGTTGCACTTAACAGTAACTAATTCTAGTTCTAGTAGGGGTTAATTTCCTACATTTTTTCTTTATATAATCTAACAAAAAGATCAACCTTTCTATTGGCCAACAGAGTGATACATGAATACTGACATGCAAACTGCTAAAGTACAATGCTTGTTTATCCTTCACCATAATAAGTTATCTGGGGAAATATTCATTTGCACTTACCATATTCAAAGGTTTTATAAGACAGCATCAACATGCTAACTCCAATGATACTAAAAAAAAAATGCTAGCTGTTTGGCATTGCTGGTACTACTGGCATTTCAAAACATCAAAAATCTTTGGGCCTATAGAGTTTCAGTCCCTCACATTTAAAGTGATAATATTCAAGAGTCATAATTAATTAAAGCCTTGTTTGAAAAATGAGAACATGCACTTACTGAAGTCCATTACAAGTTGAAAGAGCAACTTTGGAATCCTTGATACCTCTGATATTTCCATGGTAGTAACAATGCTCTCCCCCCTAATAATGTTCAAAAACAATCACACACAAAAAATTACCCTGATTTAATGTCTGTTACTTAAAACCACGCAAAAAAAGATCTAACACTAACAATACCAATTCAGCAGATTTAAGTAATATCTTTACTGTCTATTGCAATAAACCCAACTAAATTAAGATAAAAGTATTCTCAAAAAAATGTATTAAAAACCCTAAAGTATGCTTGTCTCTCACACATTGCTAGAAAAACTCAGCATTCATCATAAAAATATTCTTAACTCTGGTGTCATGTCATCTGAGCTCCAACAAGCATATTGAACCCATTCCTTATGCAATTATTACAACTCCAGAAGGTACCAAAAATGGGAATGCTGTTTGTCTACCTATACACATCATTACTTCCATTTTCCATCTTATTTAATCAGTTATTCAGATTTTGCATTAAACTCTCAACAGGCTTTTGTGCGTAACTAAATCAAAGTACTATATAGGAAGTAATCACGATGTTTTTACCTTTCCATAGTGAGATTGCATAAAACATGCTTTTTAACAGCTAAAATGTGATCTTCTTTCTCACACAAAGCTTTTCAAGGTTTTTTTTTCAAGCTGATCATCTGAGTAAAGAAATTGTTGTCTATTCTTCAATCATTCTTGTAATAAACTACCCCCTTCTATAAAATACAGTACTTTTCATTAAGATTTCACTTCTTTAAATCCACATTGGGAAACAAAACAACCTTTTACCTACTTAGATCTAAAAAGTATTGTAAGATACTGCAAAAGACCAGGATGCAGTCCTTATTTGACCTCCTACACAAATTGTGTGTATAGTTTTTGAACCTATAATGAAGCCTTTTGCAGATTAATAATGTGATCTCAGGAGCTCTATTACTGCTTCTAAATAACGCAGTTCAGAAAACATCCCTTAGGAAGTTTGGATCAAGTTACTGCAGCATGCAAAGGTAACCATTTGCTGAGTCTGAAGTTCTAATATAATTTTCCAGTCAGATTCATGATTCAGCAACCGCAGTGCTCAATACTAGTGCTGCAGCTGACAATTGCATGAGCTTGTCTAAGTGCCAGTGGGAATTGTTTTCTTGCATCATTTAGCATTTTTGCCTATTCTGCAGAGTACTGAGTCTTAGTGAAACAACTTCCTTTGTATGTTACATGAAACTCTTTTTCCTCTACAGTGGAAGAAAATAATTTCAATAATTACATTGCAAGGTAATTGTTTAATTCTGCTCTTATCTGTAATGTATTCTTTTATTTAAGATTCTCTATAACAAGGGCAAAATAATAAACTAGATATCTAATACTTGGACAAACAACAGTCCTGACTTTCTGAATGCATAACTGTAACTGCAATGTTTGCTTGCCCCCACTCTAAACAGAGATATATTTCACACATATTTATTCACAACAAATAATCCAGCATTCATACAAAATATGAAAAAAAGTAATTCCCGGAAAATGCAGTTTTTAACCTTCCTAGGATCGAACCAGCCCTCATTTTGTTACTAAAACAAACAAAAAGACTGATCTGGTTCCCTTAGGGCTAAACTATCTTGCATAACTTTAATCTGCTCTTGGATTAATAGCCTATGGCACTGAATTCAATTTGGCAGCTAGTTTGACAAACTTAATTAATTGGATATCAAGCAAAATGTTGATTTTATAATAACTCCAGAGGTTAAGGTTTCAGTTAAGTCTTTCATTTTCTGTTTCACAACTGTATAATTCTTGCAAAGAAAAGTCACTGGCAGTTTTTTTGTTTGTTTGAATGTCTTACATTACCATTATCCCTTCTCCTTGCACTTTGTGCTAAGGACATGTGAATAATTAATGAAGATTAATCTGATGGTGGCTTCAAACCCTCCACCTCCTACATTTTACAAGATGTAATTGTTCTGGCAGTAACTGGATCATCTTCACTACTACCACCTACGAATGCCTACCCCTCAGCCCAAAACACAGCTTTTCTTCTTTGTACAATTCCTCTTGTATTACTGAGATATCCTTACAAAATGAGATCACAGTTACCTCGCATGTGTGGGAAAAGAATTTTGATGGGTTTAAGTCTTGCAAAAGGTTTTTTTTAAAAAACATTTTATTGTCACTGTTCTCTCAAAAAGACCATTATGATATAATTTAAGAACACAATACCTTAGAAAACTTTGGTTTTCCATCTTCATAGTGAATCTCCACATAATTGGAAGATAACAAGTCACTGTCAAAGAAAGGAAAAATCAAGATGAGAAAAATCTGAATACTCTTTCTACTGCTATGTGTAGGTTTGAGGGCGGGAGTTTGCTATAATTTTGAAATAATTTTTACTTTCCCTGTACATTAGTTTAAAAAAATTAAGCAATTTTTGTCCAGTAAACTGTTTGATAGTTCACTGGAAGTCAGAGTGCATTACAGAATTGGGAATTTTATTTTGCAATCTAATCCCCTGTGTTTTAGCTTTACAGTTAGACTATCAGCCTTTTAAATATGCAAAAAATAAAAAAATCTCATGGCTTTAGAATTTTGTTTGTTAACTGACAAAATGTATGTTTATTGCCATTTTCAAATAAATTTTGCATTTTATCTAAAAGTCAAACAGAATATATGTAAGGCTGAACAAATACATATACAGTTGTTCTGAAGACAAGAGCGTATATTCACTTCCACAACTGCAAATATTCAATTTTTTTCCCAAAACACTAATGTTCCTTAAAAAAGGCCAAAACAAAGCATATCATAAAACACCCCCATAATATCCCTTTTCTTACTTTCACATTTTATTCTCAGATATCTTTCTCACTCTTTCTTAACTCTGGCAAGACAAATTTCTGAAGCATAAAAATTTCCCATACTGTGCAGTTTACAGTTCAGATTTCTTTTTTTTTTTTTTTTTTTTTTAATAAGATTAGCTAGCCTGTACATATTCTACAATAATTTCAGTGTCCCATTCACATCCCACCCCTTTATAACCAAGGTTGCAGCACAGCATCCAGGAAGAGCAAAGCAGTTAAACATGTTAAGTGGTCCCACCAAACATGCAAGATAAGCATTTTACTTAATGCAACTGAGAATTCTTAGCATTTTTGAAGTCTCTAATGTACCCTTTCAACTTAAAAAAAGAGAATCATTAAAGGGTCTGATAGTGGTACATATATCAAAACAAAAATATTGTTGTTACAAATAAAAAAAACATCATTATGGAAGTCTGGTCTGACATGATAGCTCTGATGGGAATTCACGACTAACAATAACTTATGATAATGGGTATCTCAAACTCAGATTAGGCTATTAGCAGTCCTGATAACACGCTAACTCTGGGACTCGGGGCTCATAAAATCAATTCTTCATGCCACATTTACCAGGCACTACACTCAGGGACCATCCTGCAGAATTCAGTTACTAGTGGTTCTCTTAAAAGTCCTTTCTCATGGAATGAGAGACCACACTATGGGCACTCTGTGCCTGCAAAACCAGTGCTAATAGCCCTGAATAATTATTGAAGTCTCATAATTTGTGTTAAACATCACTTTGAAGGCAGTATTTAATAGATATATTTTTAAAGTAAAGATTTAAAAATAAATTAACTCGCATAAAAGCATTTTAACTTTCTCTATTTGCGTCAGAGTAAGTTAAAAACATTCTGCAGAAAATATAAATGCTGTATAACAGTGTAAGCACTTGACTACAATGCAAACAGTCATTTCTTCAGCATGGCAAGATCTGAAGCTTCTTAAAAGACTTACACATACAAAACAAAGTATAAAGGGTTGATAATGTACTTTTATTCTTTGCATTTTTTATACTTGTTATCAAGCGTAAGGACTGCTGTTCTCTGTAGTTGATGGGATGGTAGAGACAAGGCTGCAGATAACTGACACAAGTAAGAAAATGGAAAACTCTGACTAGGATATAAGTATTTAAAAACAAAACAAAAAGTCACTGAGGATTGTTAAACACAAGAACTATGCTCAACTTGATACAGCCTTGACCAGACTCAGATTTAAAACACTTCTGCTTGAATTCACTGAGACTACTTAATTTCCTCAAACCATTTCCAGGATCAGCTTTTATCTGCCTGTTTCCAAATCAAATCACACTTTCACACCCTCTTTTTTCCCCCTCGTCCAGTAACCTTGCACGACTGATCTCAGAACTACTTTCTGTGTTTTTTGGATCTCATAAGACTTGCAGTAGGTGATTCCACACTGTGTGTACTGACTCACAACTTCAGTTCTAATTACAGCATTTGTCTCAGGTTTATCTCATTTCACGTGATAAAAGAGCAGCTCCAAATTTCTTTAGTTCACCCTTTGAAGAATCTTTCCAGAGTTTAGTACTCTTTTCTTGGACTTTGGTCGAGCTTCTGTTGTAACACAGTTAATTTACTCATCTGCCAACCTTTTCCATTCTTTAGTTTATCATTACTTCCAACCGCAAAGGAATTCCTGATTCAGGTAGTGTCCAAATGAAGTGTTATATACATATAAATATATATATTACAACTACAAAGCAAGGAGGCAGCAGACAGCGAGTTTCCAGTAGACACTCTCATCATTGACTTTGCAACATGTTTTTGTGGTCAGGTTTTGGTAGTGGGGGAAGCTGTAGGAGTGGCTTCTCGGAGAAGCTGCTAGAAGCTTCTCATGTCCAACAGAGCAGTGCCAGCTGGCTCCAAGATGGACCTTTGGGATCTACTGGATACAAGGCACATTAAATTCTCCATCCCAAACAAATTCCCTGCAATGAAAATTAATTAAGGCCTGCCGCTCATGATATACTTCCCATGCTGTAAGCAAAATGCGCCTTTATTTTTTGAAGCACTCTTTTGCCAAATGTAACATAGTATCCACCACCTAGAAGTTGGAGTAGAAAATCTTCTGTAACGCCTGACTTTCACAAACCTGCTTCTCATGCTATGTTGGAACAGGGTATGTATCACCAGTTTCTCATCATTACTGTGTTCTTAAGCTTGCCACACACAACCACCAAGATTACGCAAATGTTCTCTTAACATTTCCCTCAGGACAGCAAGAATTTTGAACATTCCATGGAAGAAAAACAAAATCAGTCAGCTGCTCCTTAAACTGTGTGCCATTATCTTGGTAGGTACCTGATTTTTGTCAGGTACCTATTCTTTTCTCAAATATCTGCCTACCCTAGCAAATGTCATAAAGAACACCTTACTTGTAATCACTCAGAAATCCCTCAGTGTATGCTGCTAATCTGAGAACACTGATCTTATTCAGGGAAAGAGGGGGGAATGGGAGCAGAACAGTATTTTTGCAGGATTTCTCTAATACAACTTTTCTAATATACACAGCTAATTGCTTCTATAATAAAGCTAATCTGAATCCTGTTCTCTATATTCATATCAAAATCAGTACAAACACAGTTATCACTGTGCTTATAAAGGGTTAGTGTTGAAATGCGATATTGCAGAGAGCAGCCTAGGACCAGAAAATTCAGCAAAAACGTTCCACTACTACTGCAAAGGAAAGTGGTAGAATTTGTGTAAGGGAGTTTGTTCTTCATTTTGCTACAGCTCCAAGAATAACAACAGCTGTAAAAATACATATAAAACTGCTACTGCAAATGTTCCCTACCAAAGCTTTTACCTGTTATTAACACTGACAAATATGACAAAAGACATGAGAAATTATTTAAGGAAAAGAAAAAAAAATTAATACTTAACCAAAATAACTTTCAAACATTTTTTCCTACTCAAAAGACATACACAGAAGAGCACTGTAATTTCACCAGGAGGTGTGATGGGATTCTTTATCAAAGTGGCATCAAAAAGAAAGGTCTAGAATATACTGATTAAGAGCTCATGTAGAAGTACAATTTCCTGAGGAATGAGGCACAGAACTCACCCATAAGGTAGGGGTCTCCACATCACAAAATAACTTTTCTTCCTTCATTATCATTTACAGAGTGGATAAATTAACCTCTGAAAGGCAGACATGAGTTTTACAAAATTCATTTCATATCCCATCTACTCTGGACTGTTCTGCCATCTTTGATCCATTTTGAGCCATTTGCATTTTTATTAGAGCAGAAATGTATCCAGTACAGCAAGTTTGTTTTCCAATATTATGAGCACCAGAAACAGTGCAGGATTTAACTAAAACAATCATCAGTCATGACCATATCAGACAAAAGTATATTTATGTAGTGACATATTAGTAAGATCCTTTACAATGAACACATCAAATTGCAACGTGTTGAATAACTCATGACAAAATAATTTGTCATGTCCTATAGTTCATTCCACTCTCCCTTGTTTGTCTGTAATAATTGTACTTATTAAGCTGTCCTGCACCCCCAGCTCTTCTGAGTTACACTGAGAAATGCAAAATAAGCAGCAAAGGGACATGCTATTCCCAGTAGTTGCTGCCTTTGAAGACACAGGCCAGCTGTTAAAGCCAGCAGCAGATGCTTTCTGAAGAACTCATATCCACTTCCCTGGCACGTAGTTTACTGCTGATGTTTTCCTTAGCAGGAGAGCTGCAGAGTGAAAAGTGTCTTACCTCAGCTGACATCTAACTATCCTGAAGAAGAGAACTGATTTGGGCAGGTAAAAGCTATGAAATGACTAAAAAGTATCTCCTATACAAGTAACCAAGTTAGCTTCCAGGAACATAGTAGACGGTCTGCAGAAAATCAGAGTACAGTTGCATTATCCTTCTGACATACTTCTTAAATTATATTAACCTATTACCAGGCAATAATTTGTTATTTTTCAGTATTCTGAAATTATTCAAGTTCAGTACCAGTGCCTGAGCAACCTAGTTTAGTTGAATTATTTAACAGAACACCCATCAGATGTTTTTGTCCATTTGACAGATACAGTTTAGCAGCACATAAAGATGTAAAAAACAAATAGAGACCTTGCTGCAACATTTGCTGATCATCAAGGTACTGCCATCTAATGCAATGGCCATCTACAGCCTTGTTTCCATTGCCAGTTTCAATTATATTCACAAGCTTTGTTGAATTGTCTGTTCTTATAGGAATTTATTAAGTTTCTAGTATGTGTTTACATTAGTCTTTACTTGGCTCTTGTCTTTGAGGCCGCTCTGATAAGTGTCTCCGAGGAATGAATACACTGCAAATATTCATTGTCATTTTTTAAAGCAGAGCAAGGTTTTACTACTTTTTCTTATATTATCCTGAAGGAACTTAAAAAAATGAGAACATGATACTGTGGATCAAGCAACT